ACCCCAGCGCTAACCTGGCTCCGGCCCTGATCCTGCCCTCCTTGCAGCTACCAGAGGTTTGTCAGCTGCTACCGCTGCTTCTACAAGCTGCAGCCGCAGCTGACCAGGAGCATCTACGATCAGTTCATCTCCCAGCTCCAGACATCCATAAAGGTGAGCAGGGGAGCCACCCGGGGGTCTGAGGGGCTGCAGAGGGGTTTGGAGTGTCCAAAAGGGGGTTCAAAGCCCAGTGGAAAAGTGCTGAACAGGTTGATATTAAGGGCAGCAAATATATTTCCTAAATGTAAAGCAGAAAGTTGAGGCTGCTCTCCAGAGTTCTGCATTCCCTAGAAAAATGTGTAGGATTGTTCAGGAAAACACCACTGGGACTTTGGAGTCCAGGCATTTCCCCAGCACTGCCAAGGCCACCCCTAAACCATGTCCCTGAGTGCCACATCCACACATCTGTTAAATACCCCCAGGAATTGTGATTCCCACCGTGTTCATCATCCAGGATTCCAGCTTTTCATCCAGGACAAAGCCAGAAACACTTTGGATAAGGGATGCAGTGACAGGACAAGGGGAATGGCTTCCCCCTGCCAGAGGGCAGGGTTAGATGGGATTTTGGGAAGGAATTCTTCCCTGTGAGGGTGGGGAGGCCCTGGCACAGGGTGCCCAGAATTTAAGGCCAGGTTGGACAGGGTTTGGAGCAAGCTGGGATAGTGGAAGGTGGAACGAGATGTGCTTTTTAAGGTCCCTTTGAACCCAAACAATTCCCTGATTCCATGACCAGCAAAGGCTCACAAGCAGAGTGGTGCCCGTGTTTGTTCACCTCGTGTCCCTTCCTCCACAGGAGGAGATCCAGGAGGTGAAAGATGAAGGGAATCTGGAGGCACTCTTCAGTTTGCTGGATAAGATCGTGGAGGAGGCGAAGGACCGGGAGGAGCCAGCGTGGTATGGAGGGCCAGGGGTGGGGGTGCTGCTCCCCCAAGGGCACCGGGCACTTCCTGGGCTGTGTTTGGGTGTCCTGCTGGCCTCGTGCTGCAGGGAAGGGTCTGAAAGGTGCTGTATCTTCACAGCAGTGTCACTGGGCCTAAAACACACAGAAATCACTTTAATCTGTGCTTCTCTGGGTCCAGGATCCATTTCCACTCATTTCCTTAGTGCAGGGAGGTCAGTGCCACTGAGCTGGGGGGACAATCCCGAGGGCTGATGAGGTGGTTTGGGCACAGCACCTGTCCAACAGCAGAGTCCCCCTGTGTGCCCTTTGTGTCCCTGGCTCAGGGCCTCAGCAAACACTGGAGAGGCTGGGGATTGTGACCAGAAACACAAAATTTTGTGTGTCTGTGCTGAGGGGGTGAGGACATCCTGCCTGTTCCAAGCACCCACTTAGGGCCAGGCTTGGGGAAGAGCTCCCTGTGCCCTCCAGTGGGGCTCTGGCTGTGCTGGGTTCCCTGTGCCAGATCCCTGATCCCAGCTGGCAGCAGCTCAGCAGCTGTGTGGGACCAGTGCTGGGCAGTATCTGTGGCCAGGGTTTATGTACAAATCACAAATGGGACGGGACTGCTGCCTGAGCTGTTTTATTTTCCTGCATCAGTCTCATTCCATGATTATCACAGTGGGAAATGCCAGCAGCTCACGTCCCAGGCAGCAGACAAAGAACTCAATGTTACAGCTCACTTTCAAAGTTTTTTGACCAATCACACAAAGCAAAAGCACATTGACAGTAGTTCTATCCAACCACTATAAGCACCTTTGGTTGAACAACGTTTGCTTATTTCAAATACAATACCTGCTTGTAAGCCTTAAAACACAATGCACACAGCTCCATTATTAAGCTTAGAACTTCCTAATATCTCGCTAGAGAAACTTTTCTTTAGCTTAGGGAGCTATTCTAGACAAGTGGAAGATGCTTGTGAATCTGCTCTGGCCCTTAGAGCAGATCTGTTCAAGGAGGAAACTCCAGCTCATCCTGATTGTTGGGATAGGAGCAGGGCCTTGCTTTACCCCAGGGCCGGGGAGGATATGCTGAGCCCCCTCAGAAGGCCAGGCCTGCTGCAGGACACTCAGTGCCACCTCCCCAAGGCTGCTCCCACACTCTGGAGCCTCCCAGGTTTACAAAAGTATAGGTGCAATGGTCTGTTAATGTGACAGAGTTCACAGGGGTTTTTGGTTGAGGGAAGAGATGAGGATCTGACTCCATGTTTCAGAAGGCTTGATTTATTATTTTATGGTATATATTACATTAAAACTATACTAAAAGAATAGAAGAAAGGATTTCATCCGAAGGCTGGCTAAGAATAGAAAAAGAAGGAAAAAATAACAAAGGTTTGTGTGTCGGACAGAGTCCAAGCCAGCTGGGCTGTGATTTGCCATTAATTAGAAACAACCACATGAGACCAATCCCAGCTGCACCTGTTGCATTCCACAGCAGCAGATAACCATTGGTTACATTTTGTTCCTGAGGCCTCCCAGCTTCTCAGGAGGAAAAATCCTCAAGAAAGGATTTTTCATAAAAGATGTCTGTGACATGTTAATACCCAGACCATTCTATTCGTCCTTACTTCCTCCTTCTCACGTAACTTTCCTGCTGACCAATCTCATGGCTACTGCTGAGCTCTAATGACACTTGTGCTGTCTCTGGGGCCTGATTTTGCAGCTGTCCCAGCCCCTGTGATGCTGATTCCCAGGGCAGGCTGTGTGCTGGGTGCTGTGTGCTGTGTTCTGGGTGCTGTGTGCTGTGGATGCTGGGTGCTGTGTGTGCTGGGTGCTGTGTTCTGGGTGCTGTGTGTTGTGTGCTGTGTTGCTGTGTGTTGTGTGCTGTGTTCTGAGTGCTGTGTTCTGGGTGCTGTGTTCTGGGTGCCATGTGCTGTGTGTTGTGTGCTGTGTTCTGTGTTGCTCTGTTGCTGTGTGTTGTGTGCTGTGTTCTGTGTGCTGTGTGTTGTGTTCTGTGTGCTGGGTGCTGTGTGTTGGGTGCTGTGTTCTGGGTGCTGTGTGTGCTGTGTGTTGTGTTCTGGGTGCTGTGTTCTGGGTGCCATGTGCTGTGTGTTGTGTGCTGTGTTCTGTGTTGCTCTGTTGCTGTGTGTTGTGTGCTGTGTTGCTCTGTTGCTCTGTTGCTGTGTGTTGGGTGCTGTGTTCTGTGTGCTGTGTGCTCTGTTGCTGTGTGTTATGTGCTGTGTTGCTGTGTTGGGTGCTGTGTGCTGTGTTCTGTGTGCTGTGTTCTGTGTGCTGTGTTCTGTGTTGCTCTGTTGCTGTGTGTTGGGTGCTGTGTTCTGTGTGCTGTGTGCTATATGCTGGGTGCTGTGTGCTCTGTTGCTCTGTTGCTGTGTGTTGTGTGCTGTGTTCTGTGTGCTGTGTTCTGTGTTGCTCTGTTGCTCTGTTGCTGTGTGTTGTGTGCTATATGCTGTGTGCTGTGTTCTGTGTGTTGCTCTGTTGCTCTGTTGCTGTTTTTCCGTTGCAGGCGGCCCAGCGGGGTCCCGGCGCAGGACGTGCGCAGCGCCCTGGTGCCGTTCCTGCTGCGGCACCGCTCCCACCTGCGCCGGGCGCTGCACGAGCGGCAGCACAGGAGCAGCAGCCTGGCCCAGGATGTGCTCACGGGGAGGGACAGCATTGCAGAGCTGCAGCAGAGGATCCAGGCGCGCCAGCAGGCCTGGCAGGTAAAACACGGCAGAGAAACCCAAACCGGACCAAACCGAACCAAACCCGATCTAAACCAACCCAAACCAGACCAAACCAGACCAAACAAACCCAACCCAATCTAAACCAGATCAACCCAACCCAAACCAGACCAAACAAACCCAACCCAATCTAAACCAACCCAACCCAACCCAAACCGGACCAAACCGAACCAAACCCGATCTCAACCAACCCAACCCAAACCAATCTAAACCAACCCAAACCAGACCAACCCAAACCAAACCCAATCTAAACCAGACCAAACCAACCCAACCCAACCCAAACCAGACCAAACAAACCAAACCCAATCTAAACCAGACCAAACCAACCCAACCCAAACCAAACCAGACCAAACCAAACCCAATCTAAACCAACCCAAACCAGACCAAACCAGACCAACCCAACCCAAACCAGACCAAACAAACCCAACCCAATCTAAACCAACCCAACCCAAACCGGACCAAACCGAACCAAACCCAATCTCAACCAACCCAACCCAAACCAATCTAAACCAACCCAAACCAAACCAACCCAAACCAAACCAGACCAAACCAAACCAACGCAAACCAAACCAACCAACCCAAACCAGACCAACCCAACCCAAACCAGACCAAACAAACCCAGCCCAATCTAAACCAGACCAACCCAACCCAAACCAGACCAACGCAAACCAAACCCAATCTAAACCAACCCAACCCAAACCAGACCAAACAAACCAAACCCAATCTAAACCAGACCAAACCAAACCAACCCAACCCAATGCAAACCAAACCAACCAACCCAAACCAGACCAGACCAAACCAAACCCAATCTAAACCAACCCAACCCAAACCAGACCAAACCAAACCCAATCTAAACCAACCCAAACCAAACCAACCCAAACCAGACCAACCCAAACCAAACAAACCAAACCAGACCAACCAACCCAACCCAATCCAAACCAACTCAACCCAACCCAAACCAGCCCAACCCAACCCAACCTCCTCCTCGCAGTACCTGCTGCAGTGGGGCCTGGAATGTCTTTCAAACCCCCCCCACTTCCCCAGGACCTCCCAGCAGCCAAGTCCTGCTGCAACTTTATTGTGGATATTGGGGGTCTCAGGTGCTTTTCCCTGTGCAGTGGGTGGGGTGTGGAGTGGTCCCAGGGGAGGTGAGGGGGTGTTCTGTGCCTGCAGGGGACAGCAGGGAACGTTCCACCCTGAGGAGTGTGGCAGGGTGGGAGAAGCATCGTGCTGAGCTCTGTGGGTTGTGTTCCCTCCAGGCAATCACTAAGGAGCAACGAGAGCTCATCATGACACTCCAGGAACCCCAGTGATGTCCCACAGGCTCTGCTGAGGCTGTTCATCATCCCAGAGCACTGATGGGACAAGGTGTGTGCAGAACCCAAACTGAGAATCACCCCATCACCCCATCTGGAGACTGCAGAGGGACTGAAACAGCTGCTGGACTGGCATGGGTTGATTAAAAAAAGAAAAAAGAAAAGAAACAAAAAAAGCCCCACTGGGATCTTTGGAAATGGATGGCAATTCCCTGTTTCCTGCTCAGCTAGACAGAGGAGTGCCACAAAGTGTGTCTGTGCTCTCCTCTGCTCCATTCAGTGCTGGGACAGGCCAGATTCCAGTTTCCAAACCACATTTGGGGGTTTGTAGCTGTTTTAGGTGTGTGTTAGACAAAATGCAGTGCCTTAAGCCCCAGGCAGGCTGTGCCCAGGCCTGAGGAGCCCACAAGTGGGTCACAGCCAAGACTCCTGCCTTTGCTGGCAGGTTCATTCACTGCTTGTGTTCACTGCCCTTGCAGATGTGGCAGCAGCTGCTGCCCCAAGTTCCTCGTTCCAATTCATTCTGTTCTCTTCTAAAGTTATTTTCTAGCCCTGGTCCCCTCCCAGCAGCCTGAGATACCCAGGGATCTGTGCAGAGGTTGGAACAGCCCTGCCTCCACTTTGTGGGTTTGTAGCACAGGGTTTTCGTGTTTTTCCTGTGGAACCTTCCGGAGCCAGACTGGTTTTCCCCACCCAGAGTTGTCTGTTCTGCCTGGTCTGTTTGTGGGCTGGGGAAGCCAAGGGATCTCCCTGGCACAGCCCCACCTGTGAGCGTTCCTCCAGCATGGCCAGGCTGTCCTGGGGCTGGGCAGGGAGGGAGGAGAGTCCCCCTGCACCTGCTGAGGGCTGAGAGAGGTTCTGAGGGCACAGCTCCGAGGTTTCTGCCCTGTGCCCATCTGGGGAGGGGCCGTGGCTGCTCCACCACACCCCAACCTCTGTCAGCAATTAGAGCTGCACAGTGGCTGCAGCATTTCCCCTCTGCCTCCCCTCACTGTGCTGGAATCTCATCAATAAACTGGGGCTGGTTGTTCCCAGCTTGGCTCCTGCTGTGCTCTTGGCCCACGTACTCTGTATTTTATGGCTTTGTCTGACAAAGGCTTTGCCTCAGCAGCTCTGTCTGCCCTCCAGTTCCGCTTCCCAAGACAGGGCTGGGATTTACAGGATCAAAAAAAACTGGTCAGGATGTGAAAGAGAAATGTTACTCAGGAGCTCTGCCCTGCAGCCTCTGCCCGTGGCAGGAGGAGCTGTGCAGAGCCCAAGGCCGTGGGCACCTGCCCACTGTGACTGTGGTCACAAGGGTTTTCAGGATGAAGAAGAGACGAGAATGTTGACTCCATGATCAGAAGGCTTGATTTATTATTTTATGATATATGTTACATTAAGACTATACTAAAAGCAATAGAAAGGAAAGGTTTCTTCAGCAGCTAGCTAAGCTAAGAATAGAAAAGAATGAATAACAAAGATCTGTGTCTCAGACAGAGCAAGAGCCAGCTCTGCCATGAGTGGTCAAGAAATCCAAACACCCACAGGAGACCAACCACGGGTCTACCTGTTGCATTCCACAGCAGCAGATAACCATTGTTTCCTTTGGTTGTTGAAACTGCAACTTCTCACAAGGAAAAATCTTAAGAAAGGATTTTTCATGAAAGATGTCTGCGACAGCCCACCCTCCCCCAGGGACACATTGCCCAAAAGCAGCAGCTGCTGCTCCCCCAAAACTGGGCCAGCAGCTTCCCTTTGGCCCTGCACAGGGAGGGAACCCCGAGGTTTTGGCAGGAAAGTGTCCCTGTGTCCCAGCAGATGATTCTGGGATGCAGCAGTGGGAGAGGAGCCCCCAGTGCCCCCTGACCCATCCCATGGGGACTGGGCACTGCCAGGCTGGCAGGGCTGGGCCCACCAGCAAATCCCCCCTGGCCTGGGGCCGCTTCTCCCTCCCTTTGTGGGCTCTGGCTGGGCACAGGGGACCAAGTTCATCCCAAACCACAATTGCCACCTCTGCCAGCAGCTCCGGCCATGGCGGATGTGCTGGAAATAACCCTGGGGAGGCCAGGCCCCCCCCTTGCCCAGGCCACAGGACCCTATAAAGACACCCAGGGAGCCAGGGCTGAGCTCAGCCCAGCACAGGGAGGCACCATGAAGTCCCTGCTCCTGCTGACCCTCCTGGCCCTGCTCACCCTCGGCCTCTGCCGCAGAGGTACGGGGGAGTGAGGGCTGGTGGGGGCACTGGGGCTGATTCTGTGCCATGGGGGTGATTCTGGGCACTGGGGGTGATTCTGTGGACACTGAGGGTGATTCTGTGGACACTGGGGGTGATTCTGGGCACTGGGGGTGATTTTGTGCCATGGGGGTGATTCTGGGCACTGGGGGTGATTCTGTGGGCACTGGGGGTGATTCTGGGCACTGGGGGTGATTCTGTGGGCACTGGGGGTGATTCTGTGGAACTGGGGGTGATTCTGTGCCATGGGGGTGATTCTGTGGACACTGGGGATGATTCTGTGCCCACTGGGGGTGATTCTGGGCACTGGGGATGATTCTGTGTCCTGGGGGTGATTCTGTGGACACTGAGGGTGATTTTGTGGACACTGGGGGTGATTCTGTACTCTGAGGGTGATTCTGTGGACACTGGGGGTGATTCTGTACCCTGAGGGTGATTCTGTGCCCTGGGAAGGGCTCTGGAGGGAGCAAAGGGACTGGGGAAACTCTGCTGAGCTTTGGGGCAGGGCGCACGGGGCTGCAATGGGGAGACAGGGACCGGGACATCCTTCAGCAGATATGGGGGCCTCGGGGAGGGATGGGAGCTCCAAAGGGAGCGGGGTCAGAGCAGAGCAGGATGGAAGAGCAGGACCCCCGCTCTGAGCCCACCCCCCCTCCGGACCCCCCTTCTGAGCCCACCCCCCCTCCGGACCCCCCCTCTGAGCCCACCCCCCCTCCGGACCCCCCCTCTGAGCCCCCCCCCCCCCCTCCGGACCCCCCCTCTGAGCCCACCCCCCCCTCCGGACCCCCCCTCTGAGCCCACCCCCCCTCCGGACCCCCCCTCTGAGCCCACCCCTCTCCGTGTCACCCGCAGCTGCCGGTGGCTCTGCCGGCACCAAGGACTCGCCCGGCTCCGCAGGTGAGTGACGCGGCCCCACTGCCCTGGGGACAGGGACAGGGGACAGAGCCCCCCTGACCCCCCTGTCCCCGCAGCCTTTGTCTCCAGACGCGCCAGCGCCGAGCTGGTGCAGAGGCAGAAGCGCAATCTCGGCTATGGCAGGTGAGCATGGCGGGCTCCGGCTGGGGGAGATTTGCCGGCCCAGGACCCCCCACACCCCCTGGGTGTCCCCTTTGTCCCCAGCAGCGGCCCTGGAGCCCCGCCGGACCCGCTGGAGGCCAAGCGCGAGGTGTGCGAGCTCAACCCCGACTGTGACGAGCTGGCGGATCAGATCGGGCTGCAGGAAGCCTATCGGCGCTACTATGGGCTGGTGTAAGCCCAGCCCTGCTCGGGGAGGGGGCTGAGCTCCAGAAACCCCCCCCGCCAGCCCCTTCCCCTCTGCACCTGCACCCTCTCACCCTTTCTGTTCGCCCTGGAAAGAAATAAATGCAAACGTGGAGCCAGTTCCTCCCCAAGGCTGGGGCGCGGGTGGCTGGGAGGGTTCGGGGTGTGCTCAGTGTCACCCAAGCCCACCCAGCTGAGGAGCCCTGGGTTCCCTCCCTGTGACCCCCAGGCTCCGAGGAGGAGCGGTGCTACCAGCCCCAGGTCCTGCTCCCAGCCCAGAGCTGCCCCATCATCATTCCCGTTTAATTGAAAATTGTTTCTCCCAGTGTGGGGTTACTGATCCATGCACCCCTGCCCCGGAATTCCATCACAAACCACCTTAATTACTCATTAACCTTGACACGTGCACGCTTACACTGCTGGGTCCACCGTGGGGACCCCAAATTCGTGGAATCACTGCTGGAGAAGGGAATTTAAGGGGTGAATTCATGGAATCTTTGCACTGCAAGAGCTGAGGCACAGACTGGGTGCAGAGGGAGTCGGGAGAGGGACACTGCAGGACAGGGACACTGCAGGACACCCAACAACACCCAAAAGAGGGTGCAGGTCTCACCCCCAGCCCCTTTCCCTTCCTTTGAACACCTCTGACCTTCCTGCCCGGTGGCAGCCTCCAAAGAAGCCAAGAGGGAGAGAGAATTACGGCAGTGCTCAGTGCTCCCCACCAGGGGAAGCAGATCAGGGAGCTCTGGCAGCAATGAATTCAGGGCAGGAATTTTCATTTATTTTCTCTCCTTTGGCACCAGGGCATGGTGGGACCCTCACACAGCCCAGGCTCCAGCCTGAAGCCCCCAGCCCACCCTCTCCCAGCCCCTTGAATGGACACTGGGAAGTCACAGATTTTAAAAATTTACACTTTCCCTGTCTCCCACTTCTCCACCCCCTTTCCTCCATTAAAAGTGGAGCTGCAAAGGCCCTGATGAGGTAGGCCAGGGGTGCCCCTGTGGCAGCAGAGTCCTAGCAAGAGGATGAAGTCATCCCAAATCACAGAGACAGCAAGGGAAATGCTATTCCCACCACAGGGCTAAGGAAGGACCCACCTGCACTTCCCTTCCTGGAAAGTCTGGTCAGCAAAGCAGATTTGGGTGGATTTACAGATGGAAAATGCACTCAGCCCCTGGGCTGCTCAGCAAAGGTGGGATGGGCTGGGAATGAGCACAGGACACACAGTACAAACATCTGGTATTTTATTAAGCCAGTTGCTGTGCTCAGACCATGGTCAGACAAACGCTGGGAGCCCCAGCCCCTGCTCACCCAGCTGGGCCCCGTGTCCCCCCAGTCCTCCCTGGCTCTGCAGGCCCGTGAGCCACACGAGGGCTGAGGAGAGGTGATTGTCCCTCGCCTCCAACCCACATCCCCTCAGTGCCAGTGCAAGGCCAGCAACACCAGCCCTGTGCCAGCCTGCCCTGTCCCTGCCCGCTGCTGCTGCACACCCACAAGGAAAAGAGCCCAAAATTGAAGATGTGAGACAAAATCCGAGGCGTTGCGGGCGGCCTCAAGCCAAGCGAGGATGGGAGCAGAGGAGCTGCTTGGAACAGCCCATGAAACCATGGAGCAGAAGCCCAACAAGCACCAGTGACTGTGTCCACCATGGTTTGGGGACAGCCCAGCCAGCCTCAGCCACCACAGACCTGTGTCCTCCCAGCGTGGGGTCACCCCAACAACCCCGAACCGCTCAACAGGGTGGCAATGAAGAGAAAAACCAAACCCAAGAAACACACCAGAACACATGAAAACTCTTGTTTTCAGCCCACAAGCTGGTTTTTCTGTTTGCTCTCCTTCCCAGCACAGCAGGCACTACTGGACTGGCTCACAGCTGGTGCAGGAGGAGCCACGGGCAGAGCCTGCAGCCTCCACCCTGCCTGATGCTGTCCTGGTGAGGCAGCTCACAGTTCTGCCTTGCACAGGCTGGGGGGCTCTCAGGGAGCCCCCACTGCAGCACCACAGAGCCTTCCACAGAACAACCCCTTGGCTTCCACCCCCAGAGCCTCTCTGAGCAGCCAGGGGAGAAACTCAGGGCCCTGGGACAGAGCAGAGCTGTGCAAGGAGGAAACTCCAGCTCATCCTGAGCGTTGGGATAGGAGCAGGGCCTTGCTTTACCCCAGGCCAGGGAGGATATGCTGGGCCCCCTCAGAAGGCCAGGCCTGCTGCAGGACACTCAGTGCCACCTCCCCAAGGCTGCTCCCACACTCTGGAGCCTCCCAGGTGTTCAGCTCCAGCCATCTCTGACTGGGGATGCAAATCCAAAAGCCATTCACCAGCTCCTCAAGCACAGTGCTCTGGACAGGAAGAGGGCAGCACAGGGACCCTTCAGGTGTCCTTTTTAAAGGTGACAATCCCTCCCCCTGCAGCCCAGAGTGGAAGGTGCCATGGGGGCAGTCAGGATTGCCCATTGCATGGTGAGGGGCTTCTTTCAGCCCTGCAGGTGTGCAAACCCCTGGGATATTAAACCAACCCCTCAGAGGAGGAGAGCAGTGACTGAGAGAGAGCTGGGGGCAGCCCCTGTTGTTGCCATGTGGCCCCACATGGGCTCACAGCAGCTCCTCTGCCTCTGGTTACAGAAAATGAGTTTATTTCCTTTTGTTCTTAAACTGGATGCTGTGCCCAACCAAGGCCTCAGTGGCTCAGAACACAGCTCCTCCTCCTCCTCAGCCTGCCCAGCTGGGCAGCACTTGCCACCCTGCACAGCTGTGGGAGCTGCAAGAACTGACAACACTTGCCATCAAGAGAAACACTGGCCAGCAGCAAGACAGGAATTCCCTCTGGGCTGCTCTTCTCTCTCCCCTCAAGGTCCAGCCAGGAGCCAAGGAATGCTCAACCTCAGCCCAGGGTGAAGCTGAAGGCTGCCCCCAGCTCCTCACTGCTTTGACCAGAGCCCTGCAATGCTTCTCTCCAGCAGCCACAAGGGTGACACTGAGGCTCTCAGGACAAACGCTCCAAGCTCAGCCCCAGGGACCTCCAGACTCCTCTGCTGTGCTCAGCAGCCAGGATCAGGGGGGGTTTCTTCAGCAGCAGGGAAAAGCAGAGCACATCAACTCTGTGCCCTCCACCAGACAAGGAGGGCTTCACCTCAACAACAGTCCCACAAGGAGATTCCCTTCTTGTTTTTCCACCCCATGGAACAGAAATAATGAGCTCCACAAACAAAGGACTCCAAATAAAACCACTGGAGGGAAGAGTGACTGGGAGCTTCACAACCCATTCAGATCTCCAAGAATCCCCCAGGTGTGCCAGAGTCTCTGACCTGCACGTGACCTTCTCTTGGCTTAGCCAAGCAAAGTACTGTGAGTTCCAGGAGAAGATCCTGCAGGGAAACCCCTGTCCCTCACAGCCAGGGATGGACCAGCTGTACCAGGGAGGTTGGCATTTCCCTCTGCTGCGCTGTAAAGGAGCTGGAACTGGAACAGAAATGAATCCTCTGGTACTTGTGCTGGTATTTTTAGTTTTTTACCTGAAAACAAGGAACACCCTGCCCCTGCAGTCCAACACACCATGCTCAGAGCCTGCACAGAGTGGAGGATGTGACTCCACTTCTCATGTTTTGCTCTCTGGCTGTAGCAGTTTCTGGCTGGCCCATGTGGGAACACAGACAGATAGAAGACTCCAGTGGTTTGTACTTGCATAGCTGCTGCTGGTTCATGTGGATGGAGACATCTCTTCATGGGCACACAGAGGCAAGAAGAGGGAGCATGAGGAGACTGCCCAGCCCCTCTCCTGCTGCCCTGGGAGCAACCTGCAGCTTCACATGCGAGCACCGGCCGAGGGACAGCGTGTCACACACAGGCTGAGGGAGATGCTGCCAGGATGGAGCTCTGCAGGATCCCTCCCAGCTCCCCTGGGCTCTCCCAGCATCCTTGCAGGTAGCACCAGCCCTCCTGTTTGGGATGCCAAAAGCAGGGAGCAATCTGTGAGCTCAGTGCTCCTGCACAGCCTCTGCCAGCCCAGAGGGATGTGACAAAAGGGGACACAAACGCTCCAGCTCTGTCACCATCTCTAGCACAGCATTGCAGCAGTGGTGCATTGAACAACCAGCAGAAGATAATGGCTTTGAGATTCTCCTTCCTCCTCCACACCCTATTGAAAGATTTAGTGGGGGAAAAAAAAAGGGAAAAAAAAGAAACGATGAAAAAGAGGCTTTGGGTCCTTTGGAGACATCTGCTCCATCCCAGTGTTGCAGTGCTCAAGCCAAGCATTTGAGCCTTAATGGTGTATGAATCCCACCCGGCTCTTCTCTCTCTTTCAGCAGCTCTGCCAGATTCCTCCTTTTCTCCAAGGTCTAATGCATAGTGGGAGAAGCTGGGGATGGAGGCAGAGTCCTGTGGCCTCCCTGGAGCAGCGTGGTGGAGCTTGTGTTGCTCATGAAGCGTGCAGCTCCCAGGGAGAGTGGAGTGCAACGTGGGGCTGCTCCCTCCTCACAGGCCAACATCCCTTTGCACTGAGCCTGCTCCATGGGGGCCTGGGAAAGGAAATAAATATGCTTGTTCTAAGGCAAAAAAAAAATTATATTAAGAGCTTCTTCCCCCTTTTAAATAGAGTGTTTCCTTTTCTTTCTGACGTTGGAAGAGTATCCAAAACCCCAAAGGAACTCCTCTTTTTTTTTTTTTTTTTTTTTTGTAATATTATTCATATATATAAAAACTAAAAATTAAAAGGAAAAAAAATCCCTTGAAAAAAAAAAATTAATTCAAAAGGAGGAGGTGGGGGGGAGAGAAATACTATCCACTTTCCTGTCCCCAGATTGCCAAACAAGAGCAAAACACTCTTTGCATCTTCTTCCCCAAGCCGGAGGGTTCCGTTCCTGCTGCGCTGGTTTGGTTTTGCTGAAGTCCATGCTTTGAACCACCAGCCTGCTTCTGCTGGCCAAGCAAGCTTTGGGAGGAAGGAGGGGGATGCAGGACTGCCTGTCTCTCGCCCATCTCTGCCCACTGGGAGAAGGGCAGAGCTCTGCCCCGGCCATTCCGAGGGGCCTCTCTCAGAGCAGCTGGGCCCATCAGAGCTGTACAGCCGTCTGCTCAGGATGCAGGTGGAGGGTGTCAGTGTGCGTGCCCACTTTGCATTTTTGT